CTACTACTACTTCGACTACTACGACTACTACGACGACTACTACTAGCACCACTACTACTATTCCTCCTACTGCTGCTACTACTACCAATACTACTACCACAACAACAACTACAACAACAACTACTACTACTACTACTGCTCTTACCGCTGCTACCAAGACTAATAACAGTAATACTACCACCAAAGGTACGCAATCGTGGTAGCGAAGGGCATCCGTCCTTCTGTGCGCGCCCTTGCATACGCTACCACACCTCCGGCACCTGCCAGCTTGGCAGCTTTACGGCAGTTGCAAGGGTTTACTCCTGGCACCAATCACCGCTTTTCTAGGGAATAGGGTTTAGGGTGTAGGGTTACTACTACACTAGATCTGCGGGGTCACAAAGTACCACGTCGCACGGTCTGTCTCTACAAGTAGGGGTCCTGGTAGGGGTGTTTTTGTACGTGTCAGAGACTATTCAGGCTCTAGGGTTGAGGGGCCCGCATAGTTGGGAGTTTCCTTCTATGTGGGGATGCTTGTAGCAGGTGTGCTTAGTTTCCCTTTATTTACAGTGATTGGTGTTCATTGTGTGTTTCGTGCAGATATATTGTGCGGTTAATGTGTTCTTGTTTTCGGGTCTGGGGTTTTACGGCTTACTTAGGGGTATACTCTGCAATCCGAAACCCTACAGCCCAAGCTTTCCCGACGGTTGAGGTTCCGATTGCGGCTTTTGCCATCACGTGCACGAGCCCGAAACTTGGTTCCCCAATACCCAACCTTTAAACTTTTTGGGTTCTTATAGTTTAGCAGTAATCTGAAAGTTTAACCTTTTATTTCTTTGGCTTATTGGAGAAGCAAGGAAATCAAGCCACTTGTTGGGATAGGATGATCCCTTATAGAGCTGAAAGTGTGCACTTTTTGGTGCTAAACCCTAAACCCTAAACCCTAAACCCCTAAACCCTAAACCCAGCAACTAAGGAACTCAAGCTGGACAAGAGGCACCGTGCGGCTGTGCGCCTATGCTCCGGCGTGGTAATGGTTTTGGGTTTTTTGTGGTTTGGGGGGTTTTGGGGGGTTTTGGGGGGTTTAGGTTTTTGGGGGGTTTTGGTGGTTTTGGGGGGTTTGGGGGTTTTGGGGGTTTTGGGGTTTTTTGGGGGGTTTTGGGGGGTTTGGGGGGTTTGGGGGGTTTAGGGAGTTAGGGGTTTAGGGTTTAGGAATGGTCCCTGATTACATCCGAAACCTACGCGCTATAAACACACATCCGTTAAATATACAAGCCTTAATAATTACTTGTATTATTTTGGTGGCTCCTCAGTATAATTGTAGTGTAATCTACCCCCAAACCCCTATTCTAAATATTAAAGGCCCTTACATTAGTCGGATTCAAGCGGGCTCATGGTTTAAGTTTTATAAGGTATTCCACCCTCGGAGATGTTGAAGCTCTGTATAAACCCCAAACCCTAAACTGAACCCTAAACCCTAAACTGAACACTAAAAAACTTAGGCACACGATGCCATTGTCGGAGCTCTTCGAGATCATGTGGCCCTTGCTTGAGCGTCGTGCCCGAGACGCCGGTGTTTCGGCGGCTGACATCCAAGAGATGTACCAGGCCCTATAGGGCTTGTAGTTTAGGGTTTAGCGTCTAGGGGTTACGATAAGGTTTAGCTTGTCCTATACTGTAACACGCTCTATGATGGAACTTAGCGGGACATATGAATCCTATATCCTAGACCTGATTCTAGAACCCAAAACCCTGAAATATAATCTCACAGTAAACCGTAAACCAAACCCTAAACCCTAAACCCTAAACCCTAAACCCAATTCATGTAGTCCTTATAAGGTCCTCAACGATGAAATCCAGCCGTCTGTCTCTGAGCGAACGATGACGGGCCGGGCCAAGCAAAACTTCCGGCAGATGCTTCGGTGTCCTAGTCTTGGCAAAGGCCAATCTTTGACTTTTTGTTTAGGGTTTAGGGTTTAGGGTAAAGCCGATCTTTGACTTTTTGGGTGGTACTAGGGCCTAGGCTTTAGGGTTTAGGGTTCAGGGTTTAGGGTTCAGAATTCCCCTATAGCCCCAGAAGTTTAACCTTTGCTTCCCCTAAGACACAGGACAACTAAGGTCTACGAACAAGAAGATGTCGATGCTGCTCTCGATGATCGCAGGACGATGCTCCGCAGATGGTCAAGAGCGGCTTTTGGACGTGCTTCGTCGCTTGCGCAGTCGCGACTAAAATCGCCTGCAGAACAGGTGTTCTTGCAGCGCCTATGCTCGGAACGAACTTGGAATGCTGCAAGCTACTGAAAGATAGCGTTAGGGCAGGATCCTCACCTCTCTTGCAGTGGTCGGAAAGTCGGACGGAGTCCCTTTCCATCAGTGGTCTAATGGAGAAAAGTCGGATGCAGTCCTGCTCATAGCATCTCCTGGAATCTGGCTTGACCTTAGCCGATCCAGGCCGTGCTACTCCCAGACAAGTTTTTCTTCCGTTGTGGAAGGGGTGTGCAGTGTCCGAGACCTGCCCGCACCAGGCCCACTTGGAGGTTCATGCGTAGTTACAAGTGGAGTTTTAAGTAAGCTAACTATACTTATAACCCATATTAGGGGACGTATAACCCTACTTATAACTACCCATGAACCTCCAAGCAAGGAAGGGCTTGTGCATCGCCGTGTGGCTCGCCTATCCTCGAAACCGAGGGTTTCCCTTTACATATGGGAAGTCCGGCCTAATTACAATATAGGGGCCTTAATAGTTACCTATACTCTTTTTTTTTTTTTTT